CACTACATGTGTCAAAGTGGCATGACGTATGCTATGTATATGTAAAAATGGACTAGATCAAGAAGGTAAAGGTATTCTCTGCCTTCACATCCTCTAGTGGAGAGGAAGCAGGGTTGGTTCAGGATTTTCAATATTACATTATTATAGTTTAGCTCCATCTTGTGGACATACTAAAAGAAGTACATAGCAGTATGTGCAGTCCCCTGCATCTCTTATTTCTACTACAGATGTTTACTACAAACAAATTTAAATGTAAAAAGTAATCACCTTTCAATTTGATCTTCTCCCCCATAAATGGGGTGTGTTACAGTCGAGAATGCAGTCTGTGTGCAAGGGGAACAACTGTCACTGTGCCATCAATGGAGTTACTTATTCTCCAAGCAGCAGAGGCGAGTGTGCATGACAAGTGTACAGTAATGACAGATATGTGGTTTACTTACAGTGGTAGTCTATGGCTTGGAGATTTGAGGCAGCTGTGATGGATGGACAGCTGAAGATTAATGGCAGTGAGGTTCAGTGGCAGTGGAACTGTCTGAGGACAACATCAATCCATTGTGAAGAAAAGGGGTGATGTATTACTAGATAATTAGAAAGCACAGACAATTATATCATCTCAAATGTAATGAAACTATATTATAACCACAATAACTCACCTTTACATTCATTGGCAAACTTAAAATATCAAAATGGTCAATATTTAACTTTGAAATGACCTTAAACACCTATGTGGAACAACTGTACTAGCAGCGTATTATTTTGTAGCAGCAACACTAAAGAAATAGCAGACATTTTGAAGTGAAACGCTGTGTCCTATTAGCTACTTAGTGTCTTTTAAAATTTAAAATAAATCACCTGTATCCTGTTGTTCTTGAGTTTTACCTGAGGAAGATGGCTAGCAATGGTCAAGTTGGATGTTGATGTTGAGTTACAAAAACTGAGAAGACTAGCTAGTGGCTACTGCCTTAGCCTGCTCTCTGTGGCAAAATGGAAGCTCCAAGTTTTAAGAAAAACTTAGCTGAATTATGGTTCACAGCAAAGGTAAGAACAAAACCAAACATCCTGTGGAAATGCAGTAAAACTGTCCAGAAATCGTCAGCTAATGCAGCCTAACTAGCTAGCACTAACTTTAGCTGTAACGTTAGCAGTTAACAAGCTAGCTAATATGCGGATTAACTCACCCTTTTAAGTTTAAAAAATGTCTAACTATGCTAAATGAAAGCCTATTAACTGGTTTTCTGTAGTTCTTTATCCGCTAAGACAAGCTGGTAGACTGGCAGCGCAAAATTATTGTAGTTATGCTAACTTATTTAGCTAAAATAATGTAGTGAACTTACTGCTAGCTAATATTAGCTGTCACTTTGGGTAATTGCTTGGGGCTGATGCAGTGATTCAGGCTAACAGGTGCTGTTAAATCTGTTAATTAATTGAAGTGTACTTTAGAGATAATGTTTAATACACAAACACACACACACACACACACATATGTATATATATATATATATATATATATATACTGTAGAAAAAGTACTGTAGCTACTGTACTTTTTAAAGTAACATTAATTAACTACTACGTGGTTAGAGGATCCAGTTGTAATGTCATCAATGCAATGTTTAATTAACTTTATTGTGGCCCAGATGTGTCTTCATATTAATAAATGAATATGTGTCCAAAATATGATATTCTTTGTATAGCTGTATCATTTATATAGAATCAATAAACATTTGTGTTGTTACAGCAGATGTCTTTATAGCACTGTTATCATCCCCAACACCAAATGAACCCTAATAATGTAGCTAATGTACATAATGTTTATTCATAGGCTGTATCATTATGTGATATTGCTAATCATTTTCAATCCAAAGATGGTTGTTTGACTTAAACAGTGCCTAATTTGGGGTGCATAAATCTAAACTAAAATCAATCATATAAATGTTGGTTGTCTCTTTTCAGTGAATATATATTTAGTAACTGCCTTTTCATCATTATGTACTTCTAATTTTATCAAATACTGCTTCCTAAATATATTCACTAGCCCTGACAGATGCTGCATGTACATTATGTCACAACCTTTAATCTTATCCCTGAATATAACCCCTCCTCCTCCTTAGCACCCTGCTGTCTTAAGCACCTGCCAAAGTGCATTAGAGCAAAGCATTGGGATGTCAATGAAAAGAAAGCTCACCTATATAGGGATCAATAAAGTATCACATCAGAAGAATTACTAATCAGACTTCTCCTTCTCCAGACTCTCCTTTTAGAAAAGGATGGCACACAGAGGAATTTGAACAGCGTCGGAGGATGGATGCCATCCAAGCCTCAGAGAGCATGCTGGGAGGTTTTTGCAAGGTTCAGCTCAAGTATTGTCTTTGCCAACGCTTTGATCGAGCAAGTGGCGCTCAGTGTGACAGTCTGGCAGGGTAATTGGGCTGAAATTGCCAGTACATAAGTGTACATGTGTGAAAACACACACATAGCTGTACACACACGCACCTTTTTATATTGCCTTAATATGACTTTAAGAGTATAAGGCAACTCTAATAGGGATTTCATTTGAAATTGAAATATTTATGCTTTGAGGAATATGAGACCAATTATGACAGCATTCTTACTGAACTTGCTGTTTATGTTTGCCTTGCTTCCTCTTGTCCTTCCTATACAATGATAAAGAGAAGAAGTTGCACATGTCTTAAGTATTCTACAAAAAAAAACCAACACAACAAATGTAGCATTTTCCCTGTGGATATGTAAACCTCTTACAATGCTTGAAACAATTCCATTAGGTAACTCCTAGACAATTGATCACAAACACAGCTTTCATGCAAAGAGTTTATTTATGAATCAGACTGCAGTATCATACAACAGTAGCACAATCATGACTATGGATTATGCTCATATTTATAGATACAAAGATAAAGGCATGTCTCAAAGGAAAAAAATGAATGACTTCTCTTTTGATTTACTCTAAAAATAGCTTTTAAATACTTGGCATAGTTTTGTAAATTAAATGAAACATAATGTTTGCCCACTGGTTTAACTATCGGAGTACCAAATGCAAATATACTTTATGAAAAACATTTTTTTTCCTCCTCTCGCTTGCATTTCATGCAAGGAAGAAAAAAAGATGTCAGTGAGTACAAAAAGCACTTAAATCTCATATGAAAATAGAAAATATTACAAGTGTGCATAATTACTTCATGTTGCACGTAACCTGCAGTACAAAAAGTCAAATGACACTATGTTCAAGTGTACCTGACATGCCAATTATTGGAGGGGGAGGGGGCGTATGTACTGAAATAGCGTTTTAAATGTTGACAGGGGCAGTTTACACTCAAGACCGAGGCAAAGCCTTTCAGTCTTCAAAATGAATTGAAAATGAGATGTGTCAGTAATTATGGGCGTGCCTGCTTGTCCTCCCTATGAAGCTGACTATGGGCTTGTCTTAAAACACTGAATCTCATCCTATACTTTTTAAAATTATGCTTTTTGTATTATTTGAAGTTCACAGTTTTGATTCAGTGTTTCTACAGATAAACGGCATGAAGAGCAGAAACTATCCACAATGCTACTGTACCTCTCCAGCCTGAGGGATGGCAGAACAGTAAGTTGTTTGTAAAAACCTAAGGTATGAAACAGTGCTTAGTAGGTTAATATTTGGCATTGCCTGGAGTATAATGTAATGCACACATAATAAGGCGACATGATTATTCCAAATTTACAAGAAATGTTTGAAATACTAAGACAAAGTTCTGAGTTGATAAAATGCTACAACTGTAAAATGCTACATAACAATTAAGTGATACTTGGTGAGTGATTAAACAGTGGTGGTTAACTACAAATCTGTTGATCTGTTACACCAATGCAGCACTGCTACTGTGAGAAAAACCACGTAACTGCAAACTTGTTTTTATCAATTTTTTTAATCATTATTTAGATTTTGAGTTATGACTTTTAATATATTAAAAACCCCTGTATTTTAAAAAAAACTTTTCATACTTCTTTTTTTTTTTTTTTTTTGCAAATTCATGGTTTTTAGCCAAAAATAGCATGCTGCATTGTATCCTTTAGTGCAATATGTGTTAGGGACGGCAGAACGCTTTACACAAAATGAACACGCTCTGGAATGACAGAAACATTTTTTTTTTTTTTTTTTTGCAAATTCATGGTTTTTAGCCAAAAATAGCATGCTGCATTGTATCCTTTAGTGCAATATGTGTTAGGGACGGCAGAACGCTTTACACAAAATGAACACGCTCTGGAATGACAGAAACAAAGAAAGCAAGTAGGAAGTTAGGAGGAGGAGGAGGGGAAGAAGAAAGGGAGGGTAGAAGGAAGGAAAAGAAAAAAACTTCCCAATTTTATTTCTAAACATGTTTCGAGGAACCAACAACAGAACAATACATGGTTAGAATTGGAAGACATACAAAGACAAAAATAAGACACAGGTCATGTCTGACCACCAACACAGGAAATACAGTTGAGATGGATTGATGTATCAAATATCACAAGGAGCGTCCAACATTGACTCTGTTAGCGTATGAAAAAGCACTATCAAATAGGAAAACATGGCACAATCAAAACGTTTCCATCACCTCAACACTGGCAATGATGAACCCTATCGCTCACTGAATCCGAATCGTGCGATCAAGGCACACCACAGGGCCATCCCATCTGAAATCGCTCTGTTAGATTTTAAAGCACTAGAAAAATTATGTATACTCTTAATATGATACTATACAGACGTATGATACTTTCAGCTTGATTTAAGTGTGGAGAAATAAAATTTCATGGTTAAATACAAAATATCTCTTAAAATATTTAAAATATACTTTATTTTGTACATTATGCAAACTGATTAACAATTCGATGATAAAAAAAATAAATATTCCGTGAAATGTCGTCTCTTTGCGATACAGATGTATGAACATAGATATATATCATGAAGTAAAGCACCCCCCCCCCCCCCCCCCCCCNCCCCCCCCCCCCCCCCGTTTAGCGCCCATATACCCTGACACGATTCCATATCCCTGTAATATGATTTCAATGACACGTTCACATTAAAACTCCTGACAATGGTTCCTACAGGTAGCTCCACTACACCACTGAGCTGTTTGTACAACAATATTGCTCTAGCTATCTCTTTTTTTTGTTCTATATCCCTATTTCCATCTTTAAGGTTTATCAAATTTGCCAACTCAATCCGTGCCTTTATTGCTTCCTGAAATTACCTGGAAATGGGAGCTATACATCAGATTGATCAGAGGACTAACATACATCTGGTTAAAGAAGGCAACACTCCCTCTCCAGCGTAGAACCAATGTAACATATAATCGGTCACTGGTCTATCAGGTCATGTGGTGTAGAGTCACTCTTCACTGAAGAGCTCTATGTGTTATGGTTGCAGTGTGTACAAAAGCAATGAGACAGGGCACAATGTCATCAACTTTAAAAAAGAAAGGCTGATTGATCTCGTCTGAAAATCAAAACAGTTCTTGAGCCAGAGACAGTGATGTCCAGTTCTAAAACAGCTGTCGCCTCACCACGTCATGATGCGCAGTTTATTTTGGTGTAGTTTAAATGCAACAGAACAGGTTTATGACAATAACCCTTCTATGTCTACGTCAGGTTAAACATAAACGCTTACATTCATATCCTTAAGAGCTCGCCCGTAAACAAACAGATTCGTTCAGTATGCAAAAAATGTCTCGACTGTATTCGCTATGGACATTTCAGAAGTTCTAGTATGCACGACAGAATTGCATAATGTCTGCCAATGAGAAAAGCATAGGGAGGATAGAATAGAAAGGTCAAGCCACTACAAGAAGACTAACTAGTAGAAACCCTATAAGAGGATGGGCTTGGGGATGGAGGACAGATGGGGTAGTGGGAAGTCAGTTTGGGAAGGCTGGGGAGGGATTCGAAGTGGAAGTTGCCCCACAACTTAAAGGGGCACCTCCCTTTGGCAGTGGAACAGCACTCTTAGTAGTCAACGCAGCGCCGAGGGTGAGGGTGTACACAATGCTCTTGTCGGACAAGAAGGCCATTTCAGTGTCAAGATGAGATGAAGGCATTCTAGTAGGCAGCCAGGTCACAGTGTTGGAGCTAAAAACCTCAGATGGAGATGATGGATGCAGTCTTTCTACACTGTCTCCACTTGGCTGGGATCATGGGGTTCTGGGACGTAAAGAAGAAACATGTTCATTCACAAATGGTGTATTTTTATTCATATCTAGTGTTGTATATTATCCATCAGAGTTATTAAAACCACAAAAAGGTAATCAATATCAAAAAAATAGAGAAAAATGACAGAAACAGCAATATCAAAGTCAAAAATAATTTTCTTTTGACAGGACAGTAAAATGTGCGTTTTCAAGTATGCTTTGCATTCATTCTATTTATTCCAGTGGCATAAATGTCAGTGATGGATTTACATTCATTGAGCAGGGTAGAAGACTTGATCTATTTTTGGGCACTGACACCATCTTGTGGAGATGTCTTCAACAGCAAGGCCTCTTGACAGTCTCTTAAATTTTGATAACTTGCAACCTCCAGAGATAAATTAGCAGTGTATTCCTAAGATTTTATGCACACTTGTGTGCCCAAAATGCCCATAAAGTATGGAAAAATAGTAAATAAATATGGCTCCTGTCCTCTCTTTTACAACAGTCTGATGTCTCCTTTACAAATTAAAACCTCAGGCACAAAATCAGTCAAAATGACCCATGTAGCATATAATGACTCCATATGCCAAATAGAGTGGTACAGGGATGATTTTTTTTTGTAGGTCAATTCTAAAGTCAGCGTCAACCTGGTTCCCTCGACAAAAGACAGCGTGATTTTTCCTTTGAATTTGGGATTATTGCAGAAAATAAGATCTGTAGCAACTAAAGTTTATTCTACTTGAATGTTTTTAATCACAAGAAGTGAAAAAGTTAACATTAGACTATAAACAAATTACATCAAGGTCACATAACTTCAACGTCACCACCACGCTGTAAAGCTGTGTTCAGCGTGATGACGCTCTATAGTTTCATTTAGCCACTTGTTTCTGCTTTTTGTAAGATGCGTAAAAGCTTAAAATTCACAAGTAGGGTAGTTACTGGTGTGGTTTATGTTGCAGAACAAAATGTTAAAATCTCTTAAGCTTGTGTTGTTAACCACAGACCGTATTTCAGGCATCTAACCAAAAACCCATTCAAAAAAACCCCTTTGACTTTAAGGAAAACTGAAATGCAAACTCATTCCTGCAACACTCTATAGCCTTACACCTATAATTTCTTATCAATATATAATATTTTTTTTGCATTTAAATGGAACTATCACATTCACTCATGGTTTAGTCTCCAGTCATCCTTAAGCGTGAATAATAAATCTGTGGATAGGGACATTGAAATTGCATAATGCATTGAACAAATATTTTAAATAATTGCATTAGTATTTTCCTCATTCTTTTAGATTTGGTTGCCTACTGAATCTGTGTGGACTGAGAACCACAAGGGAAATAAATGTTTCAGTGTACCCTTGATAATTTCAAAATGTGGGTAAATTTGCAAAGCTGAACAGACAGTACTCTAAAACTCAACTAATACATTTTTCATTTTTAATTTCCTCCTTTTTTTCTTATCTTACCTGAGAGAGTTGACTCCTCATTTTGCAACACTGTCTCCTCAGAGACCTGCTGTGAATGGGTGACCTCTTGATCTTGATCGTTCTCCTTGTCTCTTTGAGGAGCAGGGTGGGGCTCCTCTGCTTGTTCGTCCTTGCCCTCCCCCTCTGCCTCTGTCTCCCCCTCCCCAGAGTCAGTACTCCTGATGCTGAGGCGCCTCATACGATACATAACGTCCACCTCCCTCATCCGGGCCAGGCGCTCAACTGCCACGCGACCTGGAGAAATAGCCAGCTTGGTCTGCAGTGCTTCCATTCGTTGGGAGGGGCCCTTGCTCCTCCTCTCCCCCTCCAAGCTAAGAGACAGCCTGCGGTCTAGGTTTGGGGGAACTGAAAGTGGCAGTCTATCTGGTGGAAACTCCGGTAACCCTGGGTGGTCTCGCCCCAGATGAGTCCGTAGACCAAATCTATGCTCTGGAAAAGCAAATGGCTTCTTTTCTTGCTCCTGCTTGTCGTCAGGCATTGTACTGTCTTGTCCCTCACACTCACTTTTCACTTCAGCAGTCTGTTTGACTGCACCTCCCTTAGGTGTTTCTCCTGTAATGGCTTCCTTCTCTCCTAATTCTACTTCCTTAGTTTCACTAACACTCTGTTCCTCTGTGACTTGGGGGTCTGCTGGCACATCAGTTGCTAATATTGTGGATGCACTATCCACTGTAGCTCCATCCGCTGGTATGCTCTCAGCAGGATCAACTGCACACAAATTGTCCAAGTTTTCTGCCTGAGCATTGTCTGTTTTTTCACCCCTTCCCTCATTTTCCTGTGTCATTGAATGCTGTTCCCTTGTGTCAGCACATGGGTCAGACCCTGACTGATTCAAACTTGAGTCCTTTGGCTCCTCAGTTTTTATATCCTCTGCTGGACTTTCTAATGCAGCGCATTGTGGTGGACTGCCATTTTGATTGGTTGAACTGTCTGAGCTGTTCTCCTCATGAAGTGGAGGCAATGGGCCCTGTCTCATCTGATTCTCAAGCTCTCTTTTACAAATAGGGCACTCTTCTTCTGATTCAGCACTGAGATCTTGAAGAGTCTCTGCGTCATTAGGTTTAAAATTGCCTGCGGACGCTTTATTGACATCCGTCGGGTCTCTAGAGTGGCGCAAAGTCTGGCATATGTCCTCATAATCAGGAGGACTAGTGAGTGTAGAGGCATCCTGCATGGGCTGCCTATCTGCCCAGGGCACCTCAGCTGCTGCAGTGTGCGTTGTTGGACTGAAGTCACAAAGAGGTGTCTCAATAGGCTCATCTGGCAGGTCTAGTTTCACTGTCCTCCCATCGTTGCTCCGTCTGCGCGAAAGATGTGCAACAACCCTGTATTCTCTGAAGCCTGTCTCCCGCGGTGGGACGGGGAGCTCCTCCCTAAGCTGCTTGCTGAAGGTTACTGACTTTGTTGCAGGCCTGGAGAAGGCGCTCTTGACTTCCCTGTATTCTGGGTCAACAGACCAGCTTACTGCACTGCGCCTAAGGCTGCTGGGCTTGTTGAGAGGTTCGGATGTCAATCGGATTTTGATACGCTCAGGGATTTGAACAGAACCATTTGGGACTTTATTGCTGGCAGTGCCTAGCTCCAAGATGTCTTTGTAGGCCTCGTTGAGGTCCTCTATACACTTATCAACGCTGGGCTGTTTGCTGCTCTGCTGCTGCTGTTGATCCTGGACTTCTTTTTTGATGGTCTCCAACTCTTTGACAGCATCCCATGGACGCTGACTGGCCGGTTTCAGTAGGAACGGTTCAAATGCCTCCTGCCCACTGTTTGCTGCTGGTTTGGTCTCCTCCACATTTCCTGAGGGTGGTACTGCTGGCTGCTGAGCTGTGCTCTTGTTCAGCTGGTTGGAGAAGGTGGCAGTCAAGGAGAAGGCGCTGTTGCTTGACAGTTTTAGGCTCTTAACTCCCTTTATAGGAAAACTGAAGGCAGTGCCCACCACACCGCTGCTGTCAGGAGGGACTTCAGTGCCGGGAGGGACAGGGTCTTGTTGTGCTTCCTTGTTTTCAGAGGCAGGTTTTTGGGCCTCTGGGCTAGTTTGTGTCTCTTGGTCTCGATACTGGTTTGCAGGCCAAGATCCCGACAGTTTCATCTCCTTGTAATGGTTTATCTTAGGGGGTCTACAGGGTACTCGTTTAAACATTTTGCTGCTCGCTCTACTACTTGTTTTGCTGCTTGCTATGCTACCAGTTAGTGCTTGCAGCTCAGCTTCAGCTGAAGATGTGCTTTGGAGACTTTGGTTTGTTAAATGGCCAGTTTTGTTGTCACTAGGACTGTCCGCTGGGTCTGGTGACTTCTCATTGTTGTTATTTTGATCACGGATTGTCCCAGTGAGCTGCGGTGTAACAGGGACAGACACCAAACAAAAAATTGTCTCACTAAGTCTCTTTTTTAGATTCTTGGTTTTGTCTTTCTCTGGTGGTTCAGGTTGTTCCACCTTTTTTACTTCAGTCACAGTTTCAGAGACACCCTGGTCAGCCGGTTTGCATGGGGGAGGTGGTGGTTTACCCAGAATAGATGAAGGAAAAAACTGACTACGGTTTTGTTCAGGACCTACACTGTCACTTTTTTTCAATCCCCTGTTGCACCAACGATTACTGCTGTCGTTGTCATTGAGAGCTGTTTTGCGGCTTTCAGTATTGAGAGCTGACCCCTGTTGGGGAGGAAAGGCACTATCATGTGTAGATTGTCCTAAAATCTTAGCAGGCGGAATCTCTTTGTTGATGGTACGGATCTTGTCTGAGTCAGTGAGAGAACTTCCGCTGGGCCCTCCTGAGATTTGCTTCACTCTTGGGTCTTCAGTGGGTAATTGACGGGTGTGACCTGGTTGTTCTTCGTGTCCAGAATGTACCTGTTTTCGATAGGATGCAGCACGATCTCCATAATGTTCCAGCCATGAACCTGCCTGTCTGTAAAACCACCTTCCAGGATCGGAGCTGGGCATTTGCAGAGCTTCCGCCCTCCATCTCAGGTTTGCCATTTCATTGCGATTGATTGAAACTGATCTTGGGGGTGGGGCTCTTCTATAAGATGGGGGTGGGATGTAGCCAGGGGGCTCCATTCCAGTGATGGCAGAGTGTTGTGCGAAATAGTCTTGTCTCAGCTCCCCACCCCTTGGATAGTAGATAGGCCTTTCTTTTTGTTTGGCACCCTGGTCTATAGCAAGCATTTCTGCGCTACCCCTAGTCTGCTGGTGAATCTCATATGACGGAGGCTTTAGAGGCCTGCTGAACCTGGGCTTTGGTAAAAGTGCAACATGGCTGCTTGGCCCTGCATTCCTACCCCACCGGTCCCTGACAACAGCACCACTATAGATATACCTACTATAGGGCCCAGAGAAGACAGTGCTGCTTATCCTCTGTCTATCAGGTAGGCTAGGCCTGGATGGAATGAGCTCTCTGCCAGCACCTCTATCAGGTGACAAAACCCTGGGGAGAGACTGAGACTTTGCTTTAGTTCTAGGGTGAAAAAAACCCTCAGGTGTCCTCAGACGGTACTGTTCCTGAGCCCACCTGTCCCCGTCCCCATCCGAGAGCTGCCTTCCCAGGCCCACAGCAGGCCTCCACTCCTCTGTACCGAGGCTTTGACACTTCCTCTCCCCAGTCACCCTTAGCTGACCAGGGGCTGCGTCCAGGTCCCTTAGCCAGGAAATGTCCTCCCATAGCTGCTGCGCTTGCCTTTCTGCTCTGTTTTCCTCTGCTGCAATCAGGGCCTGTGGCCTCCATGCGCCAGCAGAGGCCCTCAGCTCCCTCCCATCAGCATAGTCCAGGAGGATGCTGAAGTCCTGGCCTCGCCTCCGCCAGTAGGAAACATCCCTCTCCTCATGGCTCAGTGGCTCGGAATAAGTCAAACTGGGAACATCGTAGAACCTATAGAGAAAGAAAGGTTCAGTGTGAATAAGAGATCCAAAGTGTCACAGAATGAGAGCGAGGTGGACTCTGAATCTAAATTGACACTTGCAAACACTTATTTTTTTGTGTAGTTACAGAGGTGAGTGACATCTTACACACAGCCATTAGGTTTGGACAAAAAAACACAAAATGTGTCTGAAAGACAATATTCTTTAATGTATTTGACAATATAATTGAGTTTGCTGGTATTCCATAATTAAAAGAAACACTAAAAAGAAACAACTGATTCATTGATATTCAAACTGCAGTGAACAGACTTTCCCAAAATAAAACAAAATGAGCATTATCTCAGTGTCTATGATAATGTAATAAAGCATCAAAACCCTTTTGGGATTTGATAATTGTGACCATGGCAGTCTCAAGCATGTGTTTTGGCTTTAGCAGTATTGGCTTTCCAACGCAACTTAATCAAGGAGAGCCAGCACATATGAGACAGAAGTGCTTGAGTCAGCGGCTCCCAAGTCCCTTGAAGAAACCATGAAATTGTGATGCTACTGCAATATGATCTGCATATTAAATTGTGCTGACCTTATCGTGGAAGCTGGTCATCTGGACAGAGACTTTGGCTCTTAAAGAATGTCTAAGCAAAAACATTCCATTACCTGATCTGATAGCAAAAGTACCTCTTTCCTTCTGATAAACTGATCACATAACTCAATTAGCAAGATCAAACTGTGCTCTTTTAGGAAATTCACTATGACCTGCCAATAAACAATAAACTTTTAGAGCAATCTGCCTTTACTCTGTTGCGATAAAATATAATCAAGGAGAAAATCAGAAGAATTGGGTCTTTTTGATTGTTGCTAAGGCGAATATATAATAAAACAAGGATTCATATAATTCTTTAAATGCCAGCTGAATTTAACATAAAATGGCAAGTATGTGACGAGTGGCTGTTGGCAGGTTCAAAACAGCGGTTCCACTGTAGTGTGATAAAGCAGTGCTGCCTGGAGATAATTTTAGTTATGGTTCCAAATTTACCTCGTAGGTGCAGGATATGGCTGTAATGCACATTGCACTGCCAAAACAATTATCTTAGAAACAGCTTACTTAATCATAACAGATTGAGTCCAAAAAAACAGAGCTTCACTTCTTTGTGTTCAAAGAGGGTCATTTTGTTAAACTGCACCGTAATTTCAATTTTCTAATTTTCTCAAGCAGTCATAGTAATTTTCTTGGTGTGGTGGAACCACGTTGCTGAATAAAGCTAAAGAAACTGTGATATCCATGAATATCCGTGGGTCATCTGTCACATCCAGGCATGTTTTAAGCCACCCTGATGACAGTCAGTCATAATGGAAAAAGGGAGTGTGGGTTTGAAATCCTTGTTGAAATTCAAATGTAACCATCAGGTCTTTCAAATAAAATAAATCAATAATTGTATTTTCTCAAGGTAGTTGATTCATATTTATGATACAGTCACATAATGCCACTATTTGCAGTTAGCAGTTACATAAAAAAGAAATAAAAATCTAACCATAAAATATATCATAAATACATATTACTATATACGTTTGTAAAATATCCAGTCTAATAAATATAAAAGAAAAGTCAACATGAATTACAGTTACCCTTTTCAAGAGCTTCATCTCATATCTGCACTGCACTACATCACTGTGTTAGTCACTGTACTCATTCATTTAAGCAGCAAAGTCAATGGATCATCCTCAGCAGCATATGCTACTGTATGGCTGAGGGGAGCCGCGCTGTGCACACTTGCCCAGCAACATGCTTACATCACAGAGCACGTGCTGGGCGTGATTCAGTGTGCCAGTGTTTACAGTGGAGTGATTACGCGCCTGTCTTGAGGCATGTTCAGTCCTCCTCAGTTTGCTCTCTGTCTAGTGCTGCTGTTTACATCTGCCTGCCTGGTGGAGGCTGTGGAGACGATACCGGTGCATGGGTGGGCTCCATAGAGACGCAAGCCACCTCTCTGCACAGGCATGTAAACAACTCAAACGAGCGCAAAGGCACCTTTCATAATTCCTCATATCCCAGCATAAGATATGTCAGTGGTGCTGCTGCAGCCACAGTGTTCTGCAGCTCTGGAAGGAGGGGAAAGGGAAGAGGAGGGGAAAAAAAAACCCCTGCGCAGTGCAGACTCAGTTTTGCATGCAATACTGAAGGGCCCCAGTGAGAAGGGGGGGAGAGGAAAAAAAAGGGAAGGTAAAGGGTGTGGGGGATCGAAAAAGACAGGAAAAAAAAACACTTACCCACTATCTGTGGCGAGAGAATCACCCAAGGGCTGAGCGTCACCTAGGATACCGATGCCGACTTCTTTTCTCCTTTGGTTCCTTTCCCCGCTTTCGTTGTCTGTGGCGGGGTAGCCCTTCACCAGTGCCTGCCTGCTGCCATAGATGCCTGTGATAGATGCCCCCCGGTCCGCCTCATACCCGTTCAGTGTCCCACGGCCAGCCCTGTTGTCCACAAGTTCACGCTGGCAATCAGCGGGGCGCTTGTCATAAGGCGTGGCAGACGGAGGGCCGCTCTTGGGCAATTTATATCCGTGCGAAATGAGGAGGTCCTCCACACTGTACATGGTGGTGTCTCTCTCACTTCTGGGCAGGAGGGCAAAGGTGGGTGTGTTGCCTTATGCGCAGTGCTGCTGGTGGAAGCTGGAGCACGGATGCTCAGCAGAGGCCATCACTAAGGGGAGGACAGGGGAGGGAAGAGGTAACATGTGAACAGATTATTTCTGCATGCACCTAAACTGAGGATGAGTCATTTTTTTTTAACATGCTAGCTGATGTCAGAAAATGCAGATGTTTGTGTTACCCTTCCAGATGTGTTAATGCGTTACTTTTTCAGCATGTGCTATGTTGAACACTGAGTGAGTGTTCTCTTAAATTAAACATGAACATGTGCTAAACATAACACAGCCTTTTGCGCAGACATTATTGTGTCTCCAAGGGTATCTCTGGATTGTACAACTAAAGTTTTTAAGGGGCACACTGCACAATTTAACACCCCATCTTTTTTTTTTTACCGTGGAGTCCACTTTATTCTCCAGAACATGGACAATTCTCTCTGAATTCTTGCTACACCCTCCTTTCCTCCCAAAGACAATTTACCACCTTTCCAAATTGTCTAAAACCACTGTGTAACATAAAAATTGCTCAATTTAGAGTTGTTCTCATCCATTAAACCACTCCCTACATAATGATATCTCCACCCTTTGTCTGGGATAAATACAGTAGAAAATGTGATTTAACCTCAACAGAGGTTCCAGGCGGAACATTCGTCATCAGTCAACACAATCACAGTTATTGTTCTCGAGGCTCTCAGAGCAGCACATGGACAACTGCACAAATCTAGGCATGTGGACAATGCCGCGCTTCCTCCACTAGATGAGACAATCTACAAAGTAATTCTTTAACATTGCATAAAGAGAAAAGCTGTGGCAGATAGTCTCAAGGTGATCTCCTCCAAACTAGTTTGCATCATATATTTGCCCTCCTAGTAACTTAGTACAGCTGCAACCACTCTGTATGCTCACAGACATGGGGGAAATTGAATATTCAATATAAATGACTAAACATAGCGTATTATGCCCTTTGTCTTTGTGCTACATGTCACCATGCATGGTGCAAGTTTGTAATTTGTCTGTACCTCGTCTTTGGTAATGGCATCAGAAAAATTCCGGTACATTTATTACATGTAATTAGAGTGATTCAGTGATTCTTTCAGATTTATAAAATCCAGTTGCACTTACAGTGTTAACAAAAAAACTAAAATGAACTGAAAAGAACGTAAAGTTTAAGTTTAAGTTATAACAAAAACAAATCAATCTTTATTCTTTTTGTCTTGGATTTCATGTTACACTGTAATGTGATTCTTACTTCTAGAATTGTATATATTCACCATTTAACTACATTTCTGTACAAGTACATTAGGACTGATGCATCCTATTTTATTAATTTATTATTTAATGTGCAACTTTGTAAACCAAGTCCAACCAAACCAAAACTTACAGGCCACCACAGGCATGGCTATACAGTAACTAAATCTGTTAAACAACAAAGCAACCAATCTATCCTTTGTGTTTTAAACACTTCTCTCAGACTGTAGTCACAGTGTCTTTAATACTAAATAAAGGAGAATACATTTAAAAATTGCTAATACTGTATTGTTGAAATATCATTTGTACTGCAACCAATAGATATTTTCATTAATGATTAATCTGACGATTATTGTTTTAGCTAACTGATTATTTGTTTGGTCTGTGAAGTGTCAGAAAATAGTAAAAATGCCCATCACAATTTCCCAAAGGTAATCATCAAAATGCTTGTGTTGTTCAACCAACAGTCCAAAACCCCAAAAATATTCAGTTAACAAAGACACAGGAAACAGCAAATCCTCATTTAGAAGTGGGAGCTAAAGAATGCTTGCTTGAAAAATTGAACAATTAATCTAACGTTAAATTTGTAGTAGTAGTGGTAGTACTAATAATTTTCTGTCTGTCAACTCGATGCGTAACTGATTGTTCATTTTAGCTCAAATATAATGCAACAAAGTAGGTAAAACAAAAGACGAATATTGTTTTATGACTTTTTGAAGGCAGACTTAGGTTTTTATGTGAAGAATCTATTCCCCTGAGTTCCTCTGCTGTTTGTGTGTGTATGTGAATGCAAAAGCAGCCCTCTCTGTCTGATATATTAATTAGTGGCTATAACAGTCTGTCCTGCCTGGAGATGACGGTGGATGGCTTATAAAACAGTAACACAGTGATCAAAGGCTTTGCACACATTAGCATTCTGGCTAATCATGTTTGGACTTGAATAGTGGCTCGCTATTCATTTTGCATTATGAAAGTGTCACTTAAAGGACAAGTACAGTGCTGAATCAAAGACGTGAGTGTTAAAATAGACGAACAAACCACTCCTCGTTTTAAGTTAGGGTGATGATTTGCCAAACTTGTTCAACGCAAACACCTTTATTTATTGATTTTAACTGAAACTACAAGACTCAACCCCCTCCAGTTACAGTATAAATCAGGGATTTTGGTCATGTGACAGAACTAAGATGTATCTGAATATAGCATTTGACCCTTTGAAGATAAACAGACAGATTAATATCTATACCAAAGATGCCAGAAAAACATTTTATGTTAATACAGTAAACTTCTCTTAAAGTTCCCAGAAGACTACCTGTTGTCACAGCACATTGTGTTTTCCTCTGTGTATGAATTAAAGCATATTTCCTGACCTATCTCATATTGTTGGGTTACCATGAACAACATGATCTTAATAAGAAATGAATGCATTTAAATAAACTTACATGAGACATGCTTCTGTCCCTCTTCATGTTTTTGACCTACCCTAAAAGCTATTAAAAAATAAATTTGCTGCTCATCTCTATGCAATTCACAATACTAATGCATTATGGTAGAATAATACAGTGTCCTGGAATGATATTCTCTTTCAAATTATTTAAATATAATAAAAACAAAAAGGTTGTTTGCTAGAATTAATATGTAACAATACAAAATGGCTGTGTATGCTACAGAATCATTACAGCAAGAGGTATTAAAGGTTTAACACCCATTAATACTAATAAAGTTTAACAGTAACCAGGCTAGGGCTGCAACTAAGTAATTAATTACATTATAGATTTATCAGATAATTGCTTTCACAATTAATGATTAATCATTTAGTATAAGAAATGTATAAAAAGGAGGTGAAAAAGACCCATCCCAACTTCCCAGAGAAAGTGACAAAGTGACAAAGTGACATCCTGACACTGCTTATTTTGTTCCACCAACAGTCCAAAACAGAGGCATTTTTCATTTACAGTCAGATATGACAAATACAAGCAGAAAATCCATGTATATGAGAAACAAGAACCAACAAATATTTGGCATTTTTGCATTAAATTGCGATAAAACAATGAATCAATGATCAAATTTTGCTAATTAATTGTCTTTTTATTTGACTTACTTATTAATCGTCTAACCGCTGCAGCTCACATTGTAAACAGCTCCCCAAAAAAGTTCATCTAAACCAAGAAATCTGTCAGTAAATTATTATTTTTTGGCTACTATTACATTAATGATGAAAAATACTGTTAATATAAAGGACCATTTCATTCATATGAATTGGAAAAAACTCCCTCCTCTTCTCTTGACCTTAAGGTGACCTTAACATTTCTCACTCCATAACTTTATCCACTCTGCAGTTAGGAGCTGCCCCTGGCCTGGGAGCTTATTTCATACTGTATGATTCACTGTAACACTGAGATGTACAGTAGCCTGGAGATAATTAATACTATCCAGATGTAAAAGGCTCAGCAGAAAATCTCCACCCTAAGACCACAGTGTGTGTAACCATATTTTCAAGGACAGCATTATGTGGAAATGGATGAGCCAATTCATAAATGTCATCGTAACTTCCACTGATAAGCCAAGCCTAAGCAGACCCTAACATAACATTAAAAATCAGCATGTTGAAATCAGGGCTTCTGATGTATAAGTCCTCCAACTATTCCTGGCTCTTCAAGTGGAGTGAATAGGCAGTGTGTTAAATGCAGCACAAAATCAACTCAAGGGCTTCTTGAATTAGCCAAATGCAAGAGCAGTCATAACCAGTGAAGATGGACTCGTATGGAAAAGTAGCTTCCTTTAACGCAGAGTTTCATCAGAGAGAAGCAGAGCGAACCAGACACACAGTGGCCCTTTTTGACAAGGTCACAGCTTCAAATGATTGCAGTGGAAATATAGCACATGAGCCTTTTTTGCATAGCAACAACAAAAGTAGCATTAATAATTACCACACAACCACATTTTCACATGCACATTACTGATGAGCTGAGGGAAATGATAGTTTTGTGTGTGCGAGGAGAACTAACAATAAGGTCAGCTGTTGTAAAAGTTGCCGTTGAGGTCATTCATTAGCTGATATTTACTGCCATTTGAGTCCTTTTCTGTGTGGATCAATTTTTATGTATGGAGCTCTCATTGATAACTTTCCCGTGCCGCCCTCAAAACTTCAACTGGGAGGCTGAGTCTAAATTTATTTTAAACTTTTAAAGATTTTGTTTTATTGACCACCACCCACTTATCCACCCTCCCTGAGCCGAGGGAGGGAGGCCCCCAATGTACAGCCAGGCCTAGCAGACTGCATGCACAGGTAGTGGCCACTGTAACACATCAGCACTAGCAGGCAGCACCACCCTAACTGCCAAGGGAGTGTACCTACATCTTACCTAGTGACAGGGATAACAGAGCGCCACAGAGCAGACTGATCATAAAAAACTCCTTATTCAAACTCATTTCAAGCCTCAAGTTCAGCACATTCATGATTAAGAGCACTTTGTCTTAACTAAGTCCACCTGATTCTATGAAATCCTTAAAACCATTTCCCCGGATGATAACTTACTGTATGAATGAATAATGATTTGAAATAGATCCGTTGTATCATAGCACATAGCTATCAATAATATATCAATGTTGTAGAAATATCTATCCATGCATATGCACAATATGACCCACTGTTGCCTTGCTGCAGTGTTATATGGCACAGCCTACATAAAATTGACTGCTATGAAATGATTTTTCAAATCCGCTCCCAATACCTGCTTCGCCTAGTACCGCAAGTCCAGCGCCTACCAGGAAAAAAAACCCTCTACCTGCACGCACTGCAAGTTGAAAATATAGTCAGCGGTCATGTTTTGACGAAAGCCGCTTGGCCAAATCATAACCTCGTTGCAAATTTTCCCCAAGAAATGCACGCAGCGCAGCGGTGAGTGCACATCCCCGCCTCGCCAGGCAGCAGCAGCGGCAGCGGCGGCGGCTCGGCGCGGATCTGTCGAAGGGCGAACATTTTGAGGTGTGTGCAAGTTGACGCGCGGTTAACGAGGAGGTTTTGCAGATGCGTCTTCGCTGACTGTGAGTGTTTACCAAGACCCGCTGCCCCTGCGCTACGGTGGAAGCTACGTGAGGCACACACATACACACACAAAAAAAGACACAGCAACCCCTCCCTAGAAATAAGCCAGTGTTGAGCAGAGCGGGAAACAGCATGCAGCAAGATGCCATAACATTGCAAAAATGAATAAGGGCGTAGCGGCAGAGAGACGCATACCTGGGAAGATGCTTGGCGCGGCCGTCGCAGTTCCCCTGCGCCCAGCTTTAGCTGCTGAGACTGAGCACTGCACAGAGCCTGAGCCGAGCATGCCTATTGGTAGGCAGAGACGCGCTGGTTGCTGGCTGCCTGGACCGGGCTCTCCTCACTACAGCTGAGGTGGGGTGGGCTCCTCACATGCATGCAGCTACAGAGAGGGATGTCAGAATGGTTTCTTCCAAACTGTTTCTCCTAACTTTGCTTTTTTTTCATAGCAACAGTCATTTTTTCCATTCAATCTGGCATATTGACTTGAATGATAACTACACACATGTGGAGCAGTGAGGTGTGTGTATCTCCTTGAATCTTAATCTCTGTCACACATGTTCGGCACATTAAAACCTCAGAGGAACACGCCTTATGTGTTTCTACAAGAAAGGTCAGTCACTGCTCATGCTCATTTTTGCTGCATTACTCAATTAGATCTTCCAATAAAAACTCCATCTCCCAGTGGCAGATTTCTAAATTAACGCCCATGCGTCTCTTTCCCATCCTGTTAAGTTTTTGATGTGCAGTATGGCAGTGAGCAGCACCGCGCCCTTGGTGATGTTGATGACTCGTCACTGTGTGTGTCCCCCCTCCCATCCAATGCCAAGACAGCTTGGCTAATTAAATGTGCTGGGCTCAGGCCTTCCTGTGCCAACTGTGACATGCTGCACTCTGAGGGATCCCTCGTTCGGAGGAGTGACGGGCAATGCGCACGTTACAGAGATCCACTCGCTGATGACGAAGTGCTAAAGCCTGACCTCAGGGGTCCCTGCACACACCATGTAAGGCTTTCACTTTTTTCACTCTTTTCGGGAAGGGGTTTAATTGACATCCACATATGGGAGCTGCCCAGTGCAACTGGTGCTGATGTCCAGTGGCTGCTAGCTGCTGAGCAGTTCCACAAGTTAAAGATGGTCCATAATAATAAATGAATGATTGGTTGATACTTTAGTCATCTGGTGTTTGGAGACACTTTCAAGCTCTGCTATTTTGAAATCATGACTAGCTCCTTTGGTTGCTTTTGTCCCACTTGACAAAGCAAATTAAAGGAGAGAGTGCAGTACAAGTGATCCCAGGTAGCCAAAATGCCTTGACCCAATAGTAGCCTTATTGTAGGACACCAGGTTGTCAGACTGATGATAAATGATGTACCTGGCTGACTCTGGCCCAAAGATAACCTGAGCGCTGCTAACTGCAGCTGATTTTCACTCCAGATTTGAAGTCCACATGTTCAATACACAGCTAAATGCAGAGACCATACATGGGCCAGGGCCATCTTACATTTATGCCAAGTCAGCTGACACTCTGCTACAATCAGCTTGTCTGATATCAGACAGAATTGTCAACTTGGTACACCACAGTACTATTTTCAGTCCGACATTGCCTCCACTCTAACAGATTTTCATGGGTCAGGAGGATTCAATTTTCACTAACTTCCTAGACATATTCACCTGAATCTAACGTCATTTTTGGTCCACTCTGATGCGTAGTCTTGCCAACAAACTTGTTTTGCTGGGGTTTTATGAGTGGAGTAGAGCAAAGTAAAAACAAACTACGATGTCGGGCAATATTGATGAGACATGCTGTCTAGGTAGCAGCGTCTATCTTGTCTATACCGGTCACCATTGTTGTTATTACTTCTCATTGGTTCCAGCGCACAGCTTGACAACAGCTTGACAACAGCGTTAGTCCTGCCCGTGGCTCTAATTGGCTAATCATTAGTCCCTCCGCAGCATACTTTCGAGCGATTGCTTTTTCCACTGAGAATGCACTGTTTCATGTCATGATGCCAGACGAATCAGTCATCTTGGTGGAGTGAGTGGATTCAAAGGTCTGAACCCCGGCAAACAATCAGCCTGACTGAGCCGGCTATACCTGGAAGCCATTTCACACCATTATCACACATCAAACTTATATCTTCCTTGTAGTTGAAACATGATTCCAGTGACTTCACTCTGCTGGAGAGGCAGGCAATGTGCGGAAAGAAAAGTATTTCACTTTAAAAAGCTGAAAGGGTCGCATGTTGCTTATTCAATCTCCAGTCCAGATTGTCCAACTGGTCCAGTTAACTGATGACCCCTCTATGTTTTATCTGCCTCCTGTGCTGACCAAACCACTTGTCACCAAGACAGAATACTTAGCTGTAAAAAATATGAACCATTCCCCTCGAGCATGCACATCCACATCCACATCCACATCCACGTGTTTACAGTAACTTGTTGGATTTCCTATATCAAAATAAAAGTCAAAGTGGAGTTGACACTCTAATAATGTGAATATAAAGTGATAATTATTTGTTGGTGATATTGCTTAAATGGTTAAATGAACACACTAGCTTTTTTGTCATGCCTTTCAGCAACATTTTTCTGATGAAGACTGTGAGATTAAAGCTCTGCAAAAACTAGTAATTGCAACTTGGGAGGGGATCTTTTTTTACACTTACTGATTCAGAGGTCAGAAACTGACCTTTCATGATCAAAACTTTCTGCAGTTTGTATAAAGCAGGAGGTTTTAGAGTCAGCAACAAATTCACACATGCTGCTTACTGTTACCACAAGGCTGAACAGTTTACCCACTCTGCAGCACTTTTATACTGTATGTCAAATTCAACATATTGGAGACATGATGTGAAGTACATAAACAACTCAGGGAAATTTGTACTGAATGCTATCAGTCTTTTTGTTCATAATGCTAGAGACTGTGCCTGTAACACTAGAGAGGTTTAGACACCCTCATTGACAGCTGTTAGGAAATTTAGAAGGTAAATTCCATGGACTTCAAAATGACCTCCAAGATTTTATATGCAAATCAGTGCCATTAAATTGATCTATCAGTTTCAACTGAACCATAATACTCTATTGACATTTCATGTGTTAACTGGAAGGTCAGTTTTAGATTTAGATTTACACCCTGCAAAAGTCAATCCATTCCTGAGCAAAACAATAAAGTTTACAGTTAGCAGTTTGGGTTCTTTCATTAGATTTCTGGTGTCTTTTTTGCACAATATTCCAATTCTATTAATAAACAGTCATATAGCATAACTCATCAATGTATGAGGGTAGAATCAATGCATTGTTACACCTCACCTTTTGTCTCAGATTGTAAGGAGCGCTAGAAAATGTAAATTCCACCACCCCATGCACTATCTCTGTGTCGGTCTGGTCACATTAAATACTGCCAGCTAGGAAAACCTGCTGAACACAGGGCACTGTCTCTCCACTCTCCTGCTTCCTGCCATACTGTCAAGCTACTGCCAGCAATACCCATCACTATGGCAACATAACATATGCCATTTGGTAGACGCTCATGTACCTTATAGTGCCTTATAATGCTTCTGTTTTAGTACGACTGCCTGAAGGGAAGTAAAGGCCTGACTCTGGGCTGAGCACAGGGAGGGTCAGTATTGGGGGAAATTTTTACCTAAGAGACACTGACTTAATAGTTAACAGCTTCTTTAGCACTGATATAATTTTTCTGTCTTGAAAAGGTGTTCAGTATGGTGTCACTGTTGTTCACTTTTGATGATGTTTTTGTTGTGTTTTGGTCTCATGCTGGATTTGACTCAGACCTGTCGTAACCATAAGTGGATGTTGTCTCTACTTTTATTCTGCATTTATTCTGATAATGTTATGGATGTTTGTGATATCTCTCCCCATCGTGGCCTGATCTGAGCAAAAGACTGAATTTTCCAAGTGTCATGGACTTGTAGATGTTGAAATTTCCATTTTCGTCATGATCTCTAAGCTGTTTTTTGCACGTCTTGGTCTTTATCTTAAGTAAGACTTGCTCTGCTCCATTCAGGATTTGGTCTGGATCACCTTCACACCTGCTCTAGACGGAGACATGACCGACTTTGGGCTTGAGATGTACTTAGAAATAGTCTGCCCGCTGAGGCGATGCGACGTCGAATCATGTCATTTTGCAGACGAAAGATTACTTTGCCATTTTCATGGTCTGTCATGTAGTCTGCTGCATGCTACAGTGGGTGGTCTAACACCTATATCAGCTCTGCTCTACTTCACATGGCAGGCTGACTTTTACTGAGTGGAGGCCTTTGCTCTTAATTTATTGCTTTAAAAGCATTCGACTAAAGGGCTCATATACATGTGGAAGACTGTGGAAGTGTGGAGGCTTTTTCTAGTATCAGATGATGAACCCTGACTACTTCTGTTAACACCTCTTGGAAAAAAGTATGGTTTGAGATTTTGTAAATCAAGGTTTTGTTTTTTTTTAACAATTCCATGCATTAATTGAAGACTGTGCTTTAATTGTGCTTATTCTGAGAGCATCTGTTACCTGGAGGTGAATATCTCACTTTAGATTGAACTCATTACACATACAGGAGGTGTTGCTGCATGTTTTTCCCATCAGTGCTACAGAGGGAAAGAAGGATCTGACGAGGTTGTTTGAGGCTTTTGGAGGGTTAGTGGCCATGTTACAGAGTTATAGTGGAGCTTTGTGGTTCATGCAGTAAGGAAACGGTCATGAAATTGGACAATTAGAAGCAGCAGGAAAAATAATCAGTCCAGTGCTTTGAACTTAAAATGATTTTTGCTACAATAGAAGTCACTAGTGCATGAGGTCATTTCCATAACTGAATATAGAAACAACTCTGAATATTCGTTTCAATCTGGTAGTTCCAGGTGTGGGTTTTACTGCATCAGGAGATATTTGTAAATCACAGACAAGTATTGTACAGTGTAGGCCTGCTGTATTGTTCTGTCTAAGCTCACACACAGATTCCTTACTTACAGAAACACAAAGCTTTCCGTATTTCTGTGTTTCTGTATTGGGCTGTTTGGTTCACATTCTTAACAGGGTTCCAAACAGGAATTGCATTTTTATCCACTTGGGGATAGTGCCACAAGCTGTAAACACAACATTGACATGTTATCACCTCAGTATCATATAGCGAATGTGGTAGCATTTACACCATGGATGTATAAAGAGAGCTGGATACAGTCTTGGAGGCAGGGCCCCATTCATTCCTATGAAAGCTGCTGATTGAGTAGTTGAAATATAAATATTGATTAGAGCAGCTTTAACCATATATTACCCACAGCTTTAAAGCATATTATTGTTTCAAGCCTGAGCTGCT